GATCAGGCTCCTTCCCGCGGCCTCGTCGGACTGCCCGCCCGCTGCTGCAGCTACCGCGGCTGAAGGTCAGGGTGCCCGCACCGCGCATGCGCCGCGCTCCTCTGCAAGAACGGGGCTCCTCAGCACAAGGGCAGGAAGCGAAAGGCGAGAGAGGAAGAGCAGCGACGGCTTCCGGGTGGAGCGCACCTCTCTCTCTCATTCCTCTCTATGATTTCTCGGTCACGGAGCTACCCGCTAGAGCGAGGACCTCCAAAGAGAGCTGACGCCACAGAGCTGACGTTCTAGAGCGGCCCTCCTCCGGGTGATGCATAGACATAATAAAAAAAAAATAGATACTTTAAAATTTTAATTGAGATGTCACCCCCCAGGACAGACTGTACAGCGTCGCACTACAACTTCCATGATTCCCAGTCCCAGGGGCCATTCAACGGAAGAGCTATAGCAGCGCCACAGCCCTCCGAATATCAATGTTCTTCCCACGAAGGTTTCCTGTCACGTCACTTCCTCTTTTTGTCCAACTTCCGCCCCCGAGAGTCCGGAAGCGAGGGTAGCGGTCTCTTGGTTCTTGTCGCGCCGCTCCTTCGTCTCCCTCGTCATGGGGAAGACCGACTTCTTGAGCCCCAAGGCCATCTCCAACCGTATCAAGTCGAAGGGGCTGCAGAAGCTGCGCTGGTATTGCCAGATGTGCCAGAAGCAGTGCCGGGACGAGGTGAGGGGGGAGCCCCCAGGGGCAGGGGCAGTATATCTGGGCGCGCTGGTCGCCCTAAAAGAGGCCCTAGACCCGAATGTCCTTTTCCGTCGTCAGCCACGAATCTCACTCGGATTTCGGTCGACTCTTCGCATATTTTGTGGTGGTGATTTGTTTCCCCGTGAAGTTTTCCAGGTTTCGTCACGGTGGCTCTTCATCCGAGTCTTGGATCCTATAATATGGGAAAAGGAGCTTTTGCAGGCCCAGCCATCCTTCTGTGAGACTGGGGGTCCTTTTCATTAGTCTTCCATTAGACCAGTGTTTTCCAGACTTGGCCACTTTAAGATGGGTGGACTTCAACTCCCAGAATTCCCCTGGGAATTCTTGGCTGGCTGGGGAATTCTGGGAGTTGAAGTCCACGAAGTTGAGAAACACTATGGTAGAACAAAGACTCCCTACCAGTTTAAGTCTGCCGAATTCAACCTGCGAAATGGGATGGCTGGGTTTGCACAAGGCGCTTAAGCTGATACCTGAATTAATTCATTCCCTGGGTTTGTACAATACACTGGCCAGTAAACCAGCCACAGGGGCTGGCTTTGTACCGCATGCTGGGACACGAAACGCTTAACTCAGTCTGTTGGCTGGGTACTATTATTAGATCTTTAGCTGACAAGGCTGAATGTGTTGTGTGAACAAGGACAAATGGCTGGATTGAATTTGAATAAGCTTGGCAGAGGAAAGCTATTACAGTCTTTGCTGTTCTGATGGGTAGCTCCTAGTCTTGCTTGGCTGGTGTCTGCTTCTTGAAAGTTGTCAAGTTCTAACATATTATTTACATTTATTTATTTATTTATATTTCAAATTTGTCACCACCTAACTCACTGCAGAGTGACTCTGGGCAGTTTACAGCAAAAACAATAAACATTAATTAAAATAGATAAATATTAATTAATTAAAATATGCTACAGTAACAAACTTCCTATCTGGGAATAGGAATTCATATCTGAGTTATCTGGGATAACTCTGGACTCGAGATATAACTGTTTTTATAGTGAGTTGGAAAAAATAAAGTTAAGTTCATTCCTACAAATAAAGCATGGTTGATTAGTTTTGCCCAGTATGGTAAACATTTACATGATATGGCTTGGGGCTTAGCTTGCTGTCATGACATAGCTATAATCTCTCAACTTGGTTTAACCTTTTGTTGTGAGCCTAAATTGTCTGAGTCAGCAGAACAAGTTTGTATACAGCCTGGAGCTCCTGAAGAAAGGGTGAAATATAACAATGATAAATAATATAGAATGATAAATTGTCAAGGCTGGCTATAGTCTTCCTATCCTAATAATAATATCTTCAAAAACATTGGTTCCTGTGTTGGTTGAACCAGAGAAATAAATGTTGGGCTTGATAGAGTGATCAATCTGATCCAGTCAATTTATTCCTCTGCTCACTTTCCTACAAGCCACACACTTAAAATAATGAAGTCAGACGGCAACAAATTCAGAAGAATTAAAAGAAAGGGGATCTTCCTCAAATAAGAGATTAACCTGTAAAATTTGCTTTGACAAGAGGGCCAGATTTTAAAGAGGCACTAAACAAACAATGGAGAACAAGCCTGTCGACGTGGATGTTTTGTTATGGTTGTGTGAAGTTTCTATGTTCTGAGGCAAGACATCTCTGAATGGCAGGTTCTAGGTAGCGCTGATCGGCTGTCCTCACGTTCTAGTTGCAGGCTTTCAAAAAGCACCGGATGCCCACTGAGGGACAGACTGGTGTATTAGATTGTTAGTCTGATCACACAGAGTTCTGAGGTTCCAATGAAGGCAGGTCTAATGGCTCTGGAGAGTGTTGACTTCAGGATGTAGCCAAATCTAATATCTGGAAATTGTTAAAGGTTGCCACTTGGGATGAGCCTAGGATTGCTGCCATCTTTTGGGGTAAACATCTTGTGCTTTTGGTTGTTCCTTGTCGCCTTGTTCCTTCATTCTTTTGTCTCCCTTTTTTTTAAAAAAAAAACGCTTTAACTACTTATGGATATCCGTTCAAGGTTTGCAAGGGGATTTTGACTTCGTTTTGGTGTCTTTGCAAATGCAGCGCTCTTGCCTTGTTTTTCCAGAATGGCTTTAAATGTCACTGCATGTCAGAATCGCACCAGCGACAACTGCTCCTCGCCTCCGAAAACCCTCAGCAATTCATGGATTACTTTTCAGAGTGAGTTTGGCCTATAACTTGACATTGCATTTTACGAGCTGCTTCTGCCTCAATTTGTGCAGCATGATGGCTGCCGTTGGTATACTTCAGTGCAAATATAAGATGGGTTAAAAGCACTTCACACACCTGTGGTTATTTCTCGGGACAAATTTTAGAATCTTCTCACAGAGTAGGAGTGGGGGGGGTTGTTTGTTTGTTTTAAATTAAGCTTAAATAAGGCTCTCCTCAAGACTAACTCATTGTCCATCAAGTTATCCTCCATTTTGGAGCCAGAATATCCATGTCACAAAGTGATATTTAAGCTTCATGTTGCTTCAGAGAGAGAGAGAGAGAGAGTTCTCTTTCTATTATGGCTGACAAGGGATCTGTGTTACTCAAAGGCTGTCATATGAATTGAACTAATGCAATTAGAGTTGTCTTAATTTGTGCAGGGAACCAAGGAGGTGGCCTTGAAGCAAATATTCAAAACTGTTGTGCAGACAAAGTCAAAAGCATTCTTTAAGTCCTAGGAACAGAGAAAGTGTTAAGAAGAGGCTTAGGTTGCCTCCGCCGCCCTGATCCACTGGGGCGTAAGAGGGAGGGGAGGAAGGGCACAATCAGATGTTACTAGATCCTGTCTCAATAAAGTCAAGTTCTAGTCTTCCTATGGACTATGGAGTCCGTTTCCTGGTCTGGTCTACCTTGTTAGGCCTGATGTAATGTATTTGTTAATGTATTATTAATGTTAATGTATTTGTCACAAGTGCTTATATCACTTGTATAAGTGTACTTAAAAGAGATACTGTAACTATCTCTTTTATGTTCCTCTAGGGAATTCCGGAATGATTTCCTAGAACTTCTCCGGAGAAGA